AGGGCACTGTTGCCCAAATTGCAGGCTTATTAATAGGCAATATAATCAATTCAGTTGGCACACCCAGCATGCTTTTAATTAAAAAATGAAATAGAATGGGAACTATCGCAGTGCATTACATATGATAAAAGAATTAAACATTAGACTTTTGTTTGTTATCTATGCATATGTATATATGTGTGCTTACTTAGGTTGGGATGGAAAATCTATATTCTACATATGGGTCTTAATAAAAAAAAGTTGAAGGCTGCTGTCTTATTTTAGGGACTAGTTAATAATTAATCTTAAAGGTATTTGTGCACTGTTCATTTCACTTTATCCAAATACTTTGCAAGCTGGTGCATTTCAGCGAAAAGTGTTTTTTGTTATTTTTTTTTCTATGTCATACTTTGTGGTATTACAGAAGTTAGTCTGTACTACGTATATCTTAATTTCACTTTTCTGTTAATGGAACAAGATTTCTTATCAAAAGCAAATAGTCTTTTAAGGAAGTTATTGTTTTGCTTTCTTGGTGGAATTACAGTAGACTAAATAAATGGTTGACTCACGTAGATAAGCATCTAGGATTTGTTTTAAGCTTATGTTAAAAATACCTCATATATCCATACTTCCCAAATAGCTGATGTCAAAGACAGAGAGCCAGAGGCATGTCCATTCATTTAAGGCACTTGGAGAACAGATATTGAGCCCGTGTCTCTGTTTTTGGACCTGTCATTTCACTGTCAGGAATGACTTGTTAACATACCTCTCCCCTTGACTGTGAGCAGCTTCAAATGGGAACTACATGATACCAAGTCCCTAGCTGCTTGTGGACTGAGTTTTTAATGACAATTTGGGTATATGGGTGTTTATACAGCTAATGCTGAACGTAGCCTTTAATGTTACAAAGAACATTAGGTGAATTTGGTACTTTTGGGGGGTACTTTTAATTATTTATATATAATGTTTCATATTGTAGGAAATATAGAAAATAAATGTATAAACAAAATAAAAATTACGTGTGATCCCAAGCCATAGAAGTAAACATTTTTTCCTTCATATCTATGTGTGTACTCTATATTCTGTTTTAAAAATAGTCTTCTACAAAAGCTGTACTCCCAGATTGCCCCCTCCTCTGCTGCCTCCCAGGGCCTCATCCAGAAAGCCATGTGGCATCGACACTTCAGTCCTGAGGTTGCCCAGATTCTGACCAAGGGACAGAGAGGCCCCGCTTCTCACCCGAAGTTTAAGTTTGTTACTTGTCTCACCATGCCTTTCTAGTCCGGCTAATCGTGTGGACTCTGGAGCGTGAGTTCATACCCGTTTTCACCTCCTACTAACTCTGTGGCTTTAAGTCATTTCACTTCTTTGAGCATCACATGTAATAATAGGTCTGACTTCCAAAAATAAATTAAATCGTCTTCTAAAACATGAGCCTAACTTTACCTTATCATGACATTGCTTGGAGATATCATAGTTTGACCATTCTTTTCTAATTTAGGTTGTTTCCAAATGTTTAGAATTAAAATACTTAAATTTTGTACAGAGGTCACTTGGGGAGTTATATGAGTAAGTACTTGCTGTGGTCCCCCCCCCCCCTAAAATCTCAACGTCACCCATGCAGTTTTATATTTGTAAGTTGTTTGGAGGAGGTGGTTGGTCAGTCTCACAAACCAGCTCTGGCTCTGAGCAAACCCCAGGCCTGAAGCCCACCATTGGAGGGACGACTCTTCAAATCCTCCCCAGTGGGGAGCTTTCAGTCTAAGGCGAGGAGGAAATGACACATGGGTGAGTCATCATATGTTTTGGCAATTAAATTACAGGGAAGAAAAGGTAAACATTGTGTGGCAGCCACTTTTGAAGAGCAGATTCCCTGTGGGGAGGCTTCTTCCTTCCCCGCTTCCACTTCCCCCCTTTGATGTCAGGTGGGTGGCGCTGTGCTGTCGCTGTCACCTCCAGCACCGCATCGCTGTGGCTCACTGCCCACCAGCCCTCCCACACCAGGTGGAGTTGAATCATAAAAGCAAGATTGTATTTCTTCCCTTACAGATTGACCTGTATTTGTTTTCATTTTAATTAAAAACAGAACAGAGCTTGTGAACCTTCATCATCCAGCTACAGCAACCATCATATTTCCCATCCTTCCCTCCCCATTTCGCTGAAGTACATTTTGGAAGACAAACCCTGACAGACCTATGTCATTGTGTCATTTCAGCCCTACATACCTCAGTGGGCATCCCTAAACACACCAGTTACTTAGTTAACTTTGATACCATTATTGCACCTAATAAAATGAATAAAAGTGACACTGTGGGGTTTTTCTTTGTCATAACATGTCACTTAAGATTTAGAATGCACTAATCATGTGTAGGTTGATTCACATATAATATTGCTCTGTTATCTAGAAAATACTACACTTGCTCTTCTCTTACTAAAGCAGAATTTCATTGTACTAAGAAAAGAGGCATTTAATGTTTACCAGCCGGTATCTTGGTGGCTTAGAAAGGGTTAGTGCATATTTATATGCACAATCATTTGTTTGTACTCTAGTTACCCTAGTGCTGCTCTATTCGAGTGCTCAAAATTAATGCCTCCAATGATGGGACAAGTCAAAAACGAGTGGCCAGGACCTGGTGGGGAGCTCGGGTGTTTGTCTCTTTTATTTTATTTTATTACTTTATTTTGTTTGTTTGTTTGTTTATTTAAAAGAGGAAGGGAGAGGGAGAGAGAAAGAGAAACATCAATGCTAGAGCACAACATCAATTGGCTGCCTCCCAAACGCTGTGCATCCCAGGCATGTGCCCCAGACCAGAAATTGAACCAGGATGATGCCCAACCAACTGAGCCACACTCCCCAAGGCTGGGTGTTTGTCTCTTTTAAAGGGGCAGTCACCACATCACTGGCTCTTTGAGAATGCCTGCTGGTTTGGTTACCATGTCTTCCAGTTTTCAAAAGAAACTGTAAATTGGATTATTTTTTTTTAATTAAAGCCTTTAAAAGCAGGAAATAATTCACTTTTTAAATGAAAACCCTGTGCATTATGTGCTTCCCCACCATATGCTTCACTCTATTATAATTTTCATTTAATTATCAGCATGGACCTGAGAGGAATGTACTTACTGCCAGAAAGCCCAAGAAATATAGCTATCACCTCCAGTTCTACAAACACATTTACCTTTGCTCCAAACCTGTTTGCTCTCCCGGCTTCCCTTTCTGTCTATATTGACCTCAGTGTTCCAATCATTTCTGGACTCAAAATTTTAGTGATTATTTCTCCTCTTGTCTTTTCCACCACAAACTACAGTCTGTTCATAGTTTTTTGTGATGAATTCTCCAGGTTTTCTTTCTCCTCCTTCCCCTTTAGCCAGCTCGTTTCTAGCCCTACCACTGCTCCTCTGACCCAGATTCTCCCTGTGTTCTAGTTCCTGTCATTACCCAACCAGGTTGACCCACTTTCTCAAATACCTCTTTCAGATGCTTCATTAAGTCTCTTCTCTAAACGTTTTTTGGATCCCTGTTGCCTACAGTAAAAATCCCACAACTTTTGCCTAGATCTCCAGGTTGCAGAGTAGTTTCATCGTAGTTACCCATCCGCATTTCCCCGGTATTCTCTAACCCCATCTTCTTAAGGTCAACTCTCCCTCCATCCAACCTCCTGGCCAGGACTGTTCAGAACCTTGTGGGAATTTCTGGATAATGGGTGGATCCTTTCCCTACACCTGGTCTGCTCGAGTGGGGTAGATGCCTGGGTTCCCTGCCCTACCCCCAGATATTTCTTTTGGTCTGGGCCTCCATTATTATTTGAGCTGCAAGAAGGAAGTGGAATAAAGGATGCCCACAGGTGAATCCTCCTCTAGTTTAGGGAAGAGGCAGCAGAAGGGAGAAGGCTGCTTGGTCTTTAGCTCCCATTGTGCCCTAGTTGGGCCTTCTATGGAGAGCCCTTGTTTTCCTGCCTGACCGAGTTCCTTCTCCAAATGATTTCTGCTTCCTCTCCCTCCCTAAGGGTAGGAATTCTTGTTGTTGTTTTTTTTATGTGAAGCTGTACTAACCACAGGCATTTTGCAGTTTGCATGCAGTACGTGCTCATTTGCCTTGCCACACCCACTTGTGCACACCATTAGATATTGGAATGATTAACTTGGTCACTTTAATCTACTAAGGCAACTTGTTGGTCAATTGATGACCTTTCTTGTTCAGAGAAGTCTTAAGAAAATTTGTTATTTTAATGAACTAGTGATATTTCACTAAAAGAGATTCTTTCTCGTCTGCCTCAGCCCTTTGTTTAAGCCCCGGATATGGCACAAAGCATCTAGTGTCACAGTTATTTGGACATGTGACTGTCTCCCATTTTACTCTCAGGTCCACGAAGCAGCCACTGCTGCTTTGTGTGTCTCCCACAGCTCCAGGTCTGGTGTGTGGCGAGCACTCAATGTAGGAGATGCTTGACTTTCTCTATCAGGAACCATCAATCCATGACTGTCATTAGTGAGATATGAATGGTGAATGATTGCTAGTTCCCAGCTAAATGACAGGCTGTTAAAGTCCTCTCAGCCTAAGTCTCAGATTCTGTCAGTGACAGGTTTTACATTCGTTATCTCACTTAATCCTCACGGTAACTCTCTGAGGTAAGTAATAGTGTTTTCTCCATCACAGATTTTTACATGACATTGGCTTGCTCATAGACAAACCCACAAACAGCAAATCTGTGAATTCCAAGGGCCCACTGTACAAGTTCAGATAGATAAATAGATGATTAGAAAAAGTAATATGATAAAATGATGTGTTTGCTAATGATGGCTTTCTATTCTAATATGAAACATTTTGATTAACTGTTCAAAAGATTAAACTGGGAAACAAGAGATGAACTAACGTGAAACAATACATACTGCATAATAATTCAATCTTATTTTTAATTATTTTTTTTCAAAGAAGGAAGAAAATACATGAGTAGGGAATTGTACTGGATTCTCAGTTCTCTGGAACAATTAATTTTACTTCTTAAATCCTTTTTCTTTAACAGGCGATGGCTGTGGGCACATAGTGTCCTATCAGGACAGTGGCACCATGGCATCCAAGAATTATCCACGGACTTACCCCAATCACACGACGTGTGAGAAGACAATCACAGTACCGAAGGGGAAGAGGTTGATTCTGAGGTTAGGAGATTTGGATATTGAGTCCCAGACCTGTGCTTCTGACTACCTGCTCTTCACCGGCAATTCCAATCAGTATGGTAAGGAAAGAGACCGAGATGTTTGTGTGCATGAAAACATTTGCAATTTGGGGGCAGGGGGCTGTCTGTTTCTTAGCAAAATAGCCTGGGAACATTAGAAGAAAAACTTGAGTTTTGTAAACTCTTGGGGTAGCTCACATGGTACATTTGCTTCATAAGCTGCAACAAAGACATCTAAGGAGATGTCACTGTTAGCCTGGTGTGCGTGTCTCGGGAGCTTTGTTTGAGTTTGTATCTTGCTGGGAAGAGAATGGGAGATGTATGGCTCTTGGCTAAAACATCTACGGTTCATTCATTCCTGTGACAAATATTTATTGAATAGTGATCCTGGGTTCAGGAACTCTGAGAAACTGGTTGGGATATAGCAGTGAAAAAAACAGAGTTCCTCCTTCATGGAGCTTGCCTTGGTGGGGAGGGGTGGGGAGGAAGGAAAACTAATGCATCTATCATGTGAGTGATTGTGAGAAAGAAACATGAGAACAAGAAGAAGAAGACTTTCTAAGGTAAGATGGAGCCTGTTTTTGAGTTGTTTGTGCTACTTCAAATGGGGTGGTCAGAAGGCTTTCCCACCACGGGACATCTGAGCAGAGACCCCGATGAAGAAGAGAATGCATTGGGCACGTATATCTGAGGTCAGAGTTTCTGGGTACGGGAACAGCACGTGCAAAGGACAGTTTCCCAAATAACATTTGGAGATTAAGCTTTCTGTGCCCTGGGTGTGCTGTTAGCACAGTGGCCTCTGAAATCGCCGTAACAACGACCTTACAGTCCCAAGGCCAAGGAAACAACTTGAGTTTAGACAAAATCTTGCCCACGGGTATTTTGAGAGTGGAGATTTTCTGAAATTCTCTGTGCACACAACTCCACAAATGATAAAGGTTTTAGGTAAAATCTTGTCTGCCTGCTCGTTCTATAGGCAGTTTCTCAAACACGTAGCCTTCCAGGCTGTGGTTACATTTAGTCTAGACTTGTTTTCTCTCCGCCCGTGCCTGGGCCCAGGTGGAGGAACGGACCATGCCTGAGTCTATTCAGAGGTCTAACCTTACCCAGGCCCCATCAGGGGAAAAACAGCTAAGATTGTTTAGCCCTGACAATATTATGTCTGTTTTAATGATGGTTGAATTACTTTGACAGAACAAAGATGGTTGACTTCATATAATTATTTGCACTTTTTAAACTCCAGTCTGACTCAAACAGGAAAATGGCAATTCCAGGGACGCAAAAGGTGCCTGGGAAGCTTACTGTTCCGTTACCTTGGGTGATCGAATCTGAATTAACTTATAGAGGCCATTGTCAGGGAATCTCACTAGCCAGGGATTTCATACCGATTCAGAGAAGACTGCGTGTCAGACTTCCAGTGTAAAATTCGAGGCAAAGTGCTCCCGGGCCTGAAGCTGCCCTCCCACACTGGTGTGTCTGGGGGAACGTCTCCTTTTCCGGAAAACAAGCAGTTAATTCCACCTGCTGGCAGAGCAGCAGAGGACTCATTTGCTCACCTTTCAAATCAGAGGCCCAGGGGAGAAGAATTAGAAAGGGGAGCAAATCTTCCCAAAGCCGGATTGCAGAATGGATGTGACTTTCCCGCACTGGGAATTCACTCCATCACCTTTGATAGAAACTCACAGATATACAGAGAGGAGGAAAAGCATGGGATTAACGACACATTAGGAGCTAGGTTCTAAGGCGGTCATGGTCGGCCTCAGGGTACTGTTCTCCACATTTCTAGGTTCTTAAATTTTGAAGACTTTGACCTGTCACTAGGAAATGAGTAATAAATTAAAATTCACTTGTAGCAGTAAAGCTAAGTAACTGAATTTTTCTCTTGAAAATGTTTCTGTATCCACTTCTGTTTGTCCCATAAAGGCAAAAGATATGCTCATTGTAGACATAAACATAGTCAGCGTCTTTTGTATCCAGGTACATGCTTGGCCCTTACATAGATTTTTCCTGCACCCTTACATCCACCCTGCAAGGTAAATATTAACTCCTTTGTACAAAACTGCATCACAGTGACATTTAAGGAAAACACCAAGGATCGCACAGCTAGATAGGGCAGAAAGAAAGGTTTATATCTGTCCCTGTGGCTCCTGATGTCCCCTCCTTTCTCTTGGTTCCACCACCTTAATAAACCCCCAACAAATTATTACCTTTTTCAGGTGACCAGTTCAGTATTACATATATAGCAATTTTGTTTCAAGCACAGGTATAGTTAATACTTAGAACATGTTTTTAAGATAAAGTATTTAATGATGCTGAGAATTTCTTTTGTGGGTACTTTAAAGATTTTCTGATTAGTCATGCTAGGGCAAATCCAGCAGACAAAGAGAGCAGAAATTAGCAATAAGGGGAATACATGAACAGGAAATTAGAATATTTCAATTATATAAGTATATTTTAAAATAATTAAGTGGTTTAAGGACACGCAGCAAGTATATACATGCATATATCATATATGTAGCATGCATATGTTTGAATCTTTTGTGGTTTTGAAGAGCATTCTGGGAGGAGTTGTTTTTTTATGTATGTGTAGTATTTATAATATTTAATCCAGTGACTTGAATGTAGTAGATACTCAGAGAATAAATGATTTTAAAAGTAAATCAATAAAGTTTAATGACAAGGAACCAGTTAAGTAAAACAAGTTCCAGTTACTTGGAATATTAAACAGCTATTTGTTTAAAAGACTGTTAATCTAGAAAGTTGCTTATGATATACTAGTACATAGTGTTAGATAAAATATGAATATACAATAATGTTATGATAATAAAAAACCCTTTGAGTAAAATAAGTCAGAACATAACTATAGCAAAATACAAGGACTTTAGAAGGTTTGGCTATGGGTCTTATGTCCTCTCTTTATTTTCAGTTCTTTCTTTAATAAACATGTTTCTTAATAAACAACAAATAGATTTCCTTGGACCAAAACCATTAATTAGACATAAATTTGAACAGAGTTAAAATAGTTCCTGTTCATGCCCTGGTGTGGCTCAGTGGTTGAATGTTGACCCATGCACCAAGAGGTCGCCGGTTTGATTCCCGGTCAGAGCACATGCCTTAGTTGTGAGCTTGATCCCTAGTAGGGGGCGTGCAGGAGGCAGCTGATTGATGTTTCTCTCTCATCAATGTTTCTCTCCCTTCCTCTGTCTCTAAAAAATCAATGAAAATCCATTAAAAATAATAGTTCCCTGGTCAGTTTGAACTTTCCTGAGGAGTGCAGGCATCCACAATGAAGGAGGAGGAGGAGGCATAAGTTCTTTGTGGTCCTGCATCCGAGCTCAGGGAGTGGGCATTCCTGGGGCTGTTGCCCAGCTCTATGGGAGGGTGGGAAGCCCCTCTGCAGCTATCGTGGCCACAGGCCCTGGCATGACTTCAGAGGGAGGTCCCTAGTGTCAGCTCAGTGTCCCAGAGACCCACAGTACTATTTCCTGGGTCTGGTAGAGGGGGTGCCCACTGAGGTGCTGCAGAGGGGACCTTATGTTCTGAACACCTCCTGAAATTCTGGAATTTGACGGCTCTCGTGATTACATGTGTGGCTAAAACAGCTGAATAATTTGAGTTTATCCCGCTCAGTTTTTTTCACTAATTCATTGCTAAAACCCAGGGCCAAGAGATTTTAAGATTCAACACTCTGCAACCTTTGAATATGCAGATAATGTTTTGAAAAAGAGTAATGTCTTCTGGCATTAGTGTCTGTAAGCGCTGCCAAGAATGGACCTCCTTGGAATGTGATTGCGTTAATCATTGTGAATATGCTGAAGTTTTGCAGTTGTAATCATTATGCAGTTCTTTTTTAATGGCTCACCCCCAGGCCAATTGTTTGAAATGTTTGGTTTATATACTTCGCGTGCTTTTTATCATCCACGCTCCTGTGGTAACAAAATGCACTGTAAGCAGTGTGCCCATACCAGCTTTGACAGTGATCAAGCAAAAGATACACTTGATCTCACTGATGTGAAAAGGCCTGACACATGCACGAAGGGGTTATTATTATTCTGGTTGTCATGTATTATCATTATGGCTGATATTTCAGATTCGAGCATCAGTTAGAAGAATGTACTTATCTATCTACGGCTGAGTTAAAACACTGACTCTCCCTTTCAAATACCTTTGAAACAGCAAAGTTGATAAAGTAAAGTGTATCAACCTTCACTAGAAAAATGTTTTTTAATAACAAAATATGTTTTTAAAGATATTTTTTTAAAACAAAATTTACTTGTAAACCTATACAAAAATTGGATATAAAACATACACTGTCTTTCAAGATCATGTGTGCTAATATTCTGGCCAAAAAATTATTAAGTGTCATCATACTTTGCTTAGTAGAGATTGTTTTCACTATAACTAAGGGATTTCTGGGGTTTCGTTTGAGACTAAAGTAATTACAGTAACTGAGACTCCCTTCAAAAGAAGACTACTGTTGCTTTTCTTATGTGGAATCCTGTTCAGATCATGAAGCGTTTAGTTGTCAGGTCTCCTCGGGCTCCTTTAATCAGAGACAGCTCCTTAGTCTTTCTTTGTCTCTTGTGCAGTTTTAAAGAGTTCTAGCCAGTTATTTCATAGAAATGTCAGTTGATTTGGGTTGGTTTGATGTGCCCCCATGATTACATTCAGATTGTACATTTTTGGCAAACGCGACACTATTTCTTTTTAAAGTGATCTTTAAAAGTCTTGTTTACATTAATTTCCAACACTAGCAATTGTGAGGTCAGAGATCCTGCCAGGAATAAGAACTCAACCCGCAATATGTGTCCTTGTTTCCCTCTCCACTGCCTTTGTCAAGTGGACCCTTTTGTACTCGTCGAGGTTATTGCCAGCATCTTTCCCAAACAGTTCTCTTTGTTCAGAGAGGTCAGGGTAATCGGAGGCTTTGAAAGGACTCAAATATAAGGTGACGCCTTGTATTTAGAGGACCGTTTTGGAAAAGACACTCATCTTATATTTGGACACATAAGACCACAGGCGCTTGACTAAGGTAGCCAGAGCTATTCTAGGATTGAACA